TATCACAGTTTGAAGAGAATTAAAATGTACCAGTACTATGTGGTACATTTAGTTTAATCGCTATACAGCTGTAGTTACATGTTCTACAATTGTTGTATTCTATTCAATAATAATAGAAAAATTACAAAATGTATTATTATAATGATAATGTATTTACAGCAAGGTTTTAGGCAGAGGGGAGTCCAAGCATAAAAGTTGAAGTTTTCATTTTTTCTTTTTCATATATTTTTTTCTTTGCATTGGAGGCCAGTAACGTGCAATACACTTTGGAGAAGCAGAGAATGGATGCATAACAATGTTTTAGTTGTGTATATAAATGAGCCATGTTATGACAAAATAATTTCTCTACTAGTTAAGAATCTCAGTGAAAAGATACTGAATTACTGCAAATTAATTCCTAAGGCTATAAATGTCCTTGAGAAAGTATTTTTTGGTTCAGTTAGTTTAAGACCATGGTAATGACACGGTACTAGAAATAATTATTACCTGTTAAATCCTAGGGTGTGGGTCACACGAGCAGTAACAGGAAAACATATTTATAAGATGGTTTAAAACATTTTTTACATTACATTATCAAACAAACTGTACGACAGTAATTTTAACTATGAGCGTTTTGATCACTCTTACTGTACTGATGTATTAGCTACATATGTAAACTACAAAAATAAGTCCGTATTAAACTATATTTCAACAAAGCAGTTTGGAAAGTATTCTTAGAGTTGCTGTTTCTGGGGAATGGTGCAGGGCTGTCAACAAAGGCCGGTAGCCAGCCAAAACCACTGGCTAGTTAGCCATCCTTCACTGGCTACTTTAATCTCCTTCTACCACAGGATCTAACCAAAAATAAGTACCATCAAATAAAATTGCAAAGCATCTTTTTTCCAGGTTTGAATCACATTGAATGCATATTTAAACAGTAATTAGATCTGTGAAACATTAGAACGGTGCAATGTCGTGGAAGGTCTGGGACATTACTGAGACTCTAACAAAATCCCTTGGTGCAAGTTCCAAAGCAGCCTACTATTATTTTATTATGAGCCTGCTACTTAAAAACTTTTTGACAGCCCTGATATTGCACAGTAAATAAACACTGTTGGATATACACATGCAAGCGGTCCATAACCATCATGCTACCTATCCCTTAATCAAAAAACCTACAAATCGCCTTTTGCTGACTTTTTCACCTGATTTTGCATTAAATAGCCAGATTTGGTTGTTTTATGCTGATTTTTCTCAAAAAGCTTGGTACTTTGCTTACAGCTACAGTGTACATTGTAGAGCAGTCCCCTTTTGCTACGGCCCAAAGACTGGACACAGTGAACTCAAATGCTGTATTAGCCAATGGAATAATTCTAAGATGCATTTATGCTGTAGTAGCTAATAACATAAGATGTAAGAACCTGTGTTCCTGTTTCTTTATGATTCGTTTTACAAGGGATTTGAATCAGAGATCGTTAACATTGCCAGTGTCAAATGCTTGCTTGTCAGGCGAGTCGCATGCGACAGTTACACCTCAAGATAACTATCTTATAAGCTAATACAGTGTTACTACATGTACATCTAAATTATTATTTCTTAGCTAATACACTGTTTGGGTTCTCTGAAAAGAAAAGAAAACTGTCTGTAATAATGAGCTGTCCATAAAGTGGTGCTTATAATTTCATTTACCAGCAGTTCTTTTTATCTTAATATTCCCGATGGTATAAAAATTTAATTACGAACAACTTACTATTTGAAACTGGCTACAGTGTTGATGGGATGCTACAGTGTACAATAATACTTTGAAGGGTCTGACTGCACTCTTATCGATCATAGTCATTTCCTCCTGTGAGCCAATTCATGGATGATTTTGATACATGTACAAAAGAAAATCCAACACTCAACAATCAGAAAGATGTAATACTATGTGACCTCATGATGGAACTTAAAGAAAGGAAATGTATATTATTTTTAAGTTACATGTATTTTCTTACCCTTTTTTTAAGTTATGTATAAATTGGTCTTTTGTTGAAGAAAATGAAACGATGTCAAAATGTTTTGCTGTGCATGCATCAATCATGCAACCATGAATTTGACAAAGGTTTGGAATTGAAAACTGGACAAGTTTGTACTTGATGTACCAAATTTCTCACCGGCTGAAACTAACAAGCATGATGTGCCAATTTTTGGCTCTAGCTGACATAGTAAATAAGAAAACCCATATTTTGGAAAGCATTTTTTGCCAAAACAAGAACTGATTATGCATATACATATTATAAAACTTAAAAGTAGTCAATCACAATTAATAAATACACAGTACAGGTAAACCCCCAATGCTAGCAATCTTCTGTGACCCAAAGAGGGCAAGTATGCTGGTGTAAAAAAAAATAATAATAACTCCAAGGATTGCTCTACAGAGATATAACCATCCCTTTTCAGGGCTGTCATTACGTTTTGAAACAGCCATAGCAAATGAAGATTCACCCAATACAGGTCCCAAAAATTTAAATTACCACCTTCAGCTTTCCACTTTGATCACCTGTAACATCAAGTGAGCTCAGCTGTAACAGGTGTTCTGGGTTACGGCCCCTAATGACAGCTCTGCCTTTTTATTTTAGACAATTCTCAGTTTATGAAAAGCCAAAACATTTTTATTCAATCATTACATGTAGATCTCATTACACTTTTATCCTTCTTTGGAACATTACCTGCTATTTTGCAAGATTATTTCACAAAAAAAGACTTTACATAATTATCACAAATATACCTGATCAGCATCTAATATAAAAATTTATTCTAATGTTGTAGTCAATTTTTTATTGCAGTTAATTTATAATTTTCTGTTCTTTTTGTGTATGGCAATGTATGCTAAAAATAAAAGAAAAAATAATATTTATGCTGAGATACAAAATTAACTGTGCACAACATACACGTATACATAGACTAACAGCCAAAAAATTCTCAGTGAAATACAGAGGGGCAAATTATTATGGAACAGTTCACCTGAAAACATTAATGCCATGGCTGATTAAAAAAGATGTCCAAGTACAAGCACAGAATAACTTCCAGCAAACATTCAGGAAATAGTTTAAATTGTAATATAAGGTGCCAAACATGACAGGGCCGTTTTTGTTCTCAGTTAAAAAAACAAACTTTGTGCACGCATAATGCATGTACGGTCTCTAGGGAAAATACTATTTTTTTCACTTTCGATCGATCAAAATCGTGTCCCATTTGACACACCTTCTAAAGAGAAAATGCGCTGATTTAGATTTAGCGGTCTTCCTATTTATAATTATAATAATAATTATTCTGTTGCTCAAACGGCCCACCACCAGCTGTACCTTGCAATTTTCTCTTGTGTTGGACTGTGGGGTGAGAAACTTTAACCTGAGCATAAAATGCCAGCGAAGCTTAATAAATAAAAATTCGAATGTTTGAGGATACACTGAAGTAGACCTCCAGGGGGTCCCTGAATTTCAAAGATGCAAATCGATATTTGGTACAAAAGCAGTCCACACGTTTAATACAACTGTCGCTTCCGTGCACCTCGGTACAAGCTAATTTATATACCATAACAAAGCGCAATAATTTTTCTTTCACTTTTTTACAATTTCCTGTTGTACCGATGTGCACGAAACTAACAGTAAGCATAGAAAGTCAAAATTACCCACCTTTTTGGCATGCCTTTCGCACCCATGCCGGCGATTACAAAGCCAATATCTCTGACAAATACCCACCACTGGGTTTGTCCGCCGTTTCCAAGGCGCTACATTTTCTAGTGAAAACATTCCACTCAAAACTTTCACCAAAATGTTTTTTGATCTCTTACTATGGCAAGAAAACCACAACGCTATCACTGTCAAAAAAACAGCCATTATTTTTTTCATCTCAACAGGCATTTTTGCCTCAGAGCCAATGACATTGCGCGAAATAGATCACATGTCATTTTTAGTAGAGCATGCGCAGACATTTTTTGCCGGTGAAACTCCTGGCCTGTGATGATATCCTGTTCACCCGAGAAACGGTTAATGTGCTCCTGGCAGAATTGGAAAGCAACCAGCTCGAAGAAATCATATTTCCTGATGGTTTCTTCTGAAAAGTCGATGTTGACATGCATCACATATCGTCCCTGTGATTGCCAACCTGCTTTACTCGAACTTCATTCAGCAACAGGCTAGCAACTTTCGCCTTTTCAATCTCCCTCTTCCAATGACCTACTTTTGATTCACAGCACTCGCCCATCTTCCTCTGGAATTGTACAATCATATCTGGAGACATGCAGACTCCAAGTTTATTTAGAATTCGCAGATCTTCATGCTTGACTCCACAGTGAAAGAACTGCAGAAATACGGTATGCGACTTCTGACATGGTCTCATTTCTTCCTCTAGCAGCAACTGATGTTATCAAGGCCATTGCCTTGATTTTCTTGACATCCAGTTATGAGGAATCTCACACATTAAACGCACCTCTGACACGATTCATCCAGAATGGACACCACAAATCCGCCTCATGAACCAAAACTATATTCAAAAATACGGCCAGATCATCGGCTCTTGACTTTTTCAAAACTGAATCTGTCGCATTGTTACAATATTCCTGGAATTCTTTGCTGACGGTTCTTCTCAGAGGATCCGGCAACTCTTCCGGAATATTCGGGTGCTCGAATGTCAAATTAGCAACCGTTTTCAATTTTTTTCTGCACAGATTTACGATGATCAATTTCGTTTTATAATGAAACGAGCTGAACGTTTCAACGCGACCACCCGGGTTAACAATTACCACTTTAGCTTCGGTGCTTGAACTTTCAAGTAAGTCTTCCACGTTTAGATATGAGAAAAAGTTCGCCAGCTTCCTGAGGTTAGTCGTCTGCTGTGTTTAAAGTGGAGAGTTTGTTGTGATCACTGTCAGTGTTAACCACAGAGTTCGAAATATCTTTAAAACTTAAAGATTTTTTCGCTGATGATTTTTGTCCAGTTGCTTTTTTCCCTTTCCTGGCTTGAGGACTTCTATCTGGTGATGAAATGGGTGTTGGCAAAAGCCGCTTGAATCTACCAGAATGGTCATCAACTTCCATCACAGCCGAGTTATCCTTCTCTCTTTTCAAGTTTGAGGCAGTGAAGGTATGGAGCTAAAAGGCGTTCTGTATTTTCCTACCACAGGCATGACATACTCGATCAGAGAACGTGTCTGATTGTTAAATTTCCAGTCCAATGTGTGAACAGAGCTCTGCCAAAGTCAGACCTTGTATGCATCCTTCGTGCTTCGACAGCTTGAAAAGGTTTTGCATTCAAATACGATTTTTTAAATTATCCGTATTTAATCTTTACACAATCTACAATTATCATTGACGCTTGTAATTGCCCGTTGAACATTGGCAGGCTTTTTCAGGCTATCGCTCTTCGTAGCCATCGAAAAAGACAAAAGAGCATGTGGACTTGTTTTGATTTCTTGCCAAACACGCCACACTTTCACGCGAAGTTTCATATTACTATCAAGCCTATGATTGGCTGTGGAAATTGAAACCAGACAAGTTGTCACCCTGGCTTTCAAAATGAGGTGATGGGGGTGGCAGTCAAAAACCCCTCGAATCCGGGCAGGCGGTTTTTACTTTTCTCATGGCTGTGCCGCTTGTTCTTGCACGCTTTGCGCACTAATTTTGTGGCTTCGCTGCTCGTGCACCCAGCTCGTCAAAAGCGCCATGCTACGCAGGCTACTAAACTACAACAGCAGCAAGAAAACAAGAAAGCAAATTATCAAGACTGTGTACATGAAAAATGTACTTTTCATTAGTAAGCTACCTGATAAAACAATATAAAAATGTCAATGCGAAAACTTTCTCAAGAAGAGGAGTTGGAAATAACATTTTCCTGGCTGACAGAAGAACTCAAGACAAAAAATAAAACGTGCAAAACAATAACATACTGTCAGTCAATAAATTATTGTGGGGAATTATATTCTATGCTGGACAGTGTTCTTGATGGAGAATCTCCATCATTACCATGTTGACTGAGACTTTGAAAACAAAGGCCTTAGATAATTTTGTTCCCACGGATGGTCCAGTTAGGGTAGTGGTTGCTACCAAAGCCCTAGGAATGGGGGTAAACATCCCAAATGTAGAAAGAGTATGCCCTTTTGGCATACCGGATACCATAGAAAAATACATTCAGGAAATTGGGCGGGCAGGACGAGATGGGGGGAAAATCTACGGTATATTGTATTTGAAGTCCTACCATTTGGCGCATTGTGATGATAGCATGAAAGCATTCACCAACAATCCAGAAACCAAATGCAGACGTGAGATGGTGGCAAAGCATGCAAAAGTTTCCCCATTACATGACTGTTGTGACGTGTGCACTGAAAAGTGTGATTTTTCCCCGTCCTCTTGCAAAGAAGGTCCTTACATGGCCCAACCTACTATAACTGAATGCAATGCTCCAATGAGAACTGTAGGGAATGATGAAGGGCAGCTTTTGTGTGAGATTTTGCATGAATTGAAATACTCCATAAATGCCTCTGGCTCAATATTTGGGTCGAACAATTTATTGGCAAGGACAGATGACAATTTAATAAAAGAACTGGTGAACAGTTGTGAATACATCTTCACTACTTCTTACCTGACGCATACCTTTGCAATATTTAATAGTGACACTGCCCAACAAATTCTTACTGTGTTCACGTACGTGTTTGGGAATATAGAGGAGGTAGAATTTGTAACCGCTGTGGAAATGCCAAAGATTGAGGAGGATGGTCCTCTTTACCTTAATCACTGTTACTCTGAAGATGAGGAGGAAATCCTTTCTCCAGACGAGATAAGTTATGATTTTGATTATTAACTTGAAGGTCATTTAACATTTATTGTAATAAGAATACGAATCAAAGTTGAGTCTGTTGAATGACTGTCACATGCTTGTAGAATCAACTTCCACTATTTGTAGCCTTGATGCAGGGCTCGAAAAAAAAAAGTCTGTCATGTAGTCCCGGACATGTAGTTTTTTCTTGCCGAGCAAGTAACATTCAAGGGTCCAGACAAGTCACTCTCTAACAAAACCATTAACAATAATGAGTAAGAAGTGGCAACGGCGAGCAAAATACAAAAGCTGCTCGTCCATATGACATGCTGGAATTGTATTCGTCCTGAGAATACGTTGACAGTTGGTGCGGTGTACAATTACATGTTACAAGACAAAGATCAAACGACTCGATAATCAAGCTAAAATGGCCTTTCTACTCGTCTTTTACAGCAGATTTTAAGGTAAGAACATTTCAAAACGGTTTCCCACATGCTTATTTTGATATACTGTGGGTTTAGACAAGTGAAGAGACTAAATTTTGTTCACTAAAAGTGCCACCTGCAAAAAAATATGACAAAATATATCCTCATATTGCATGAGAAGTTTTGCGTGGATCATCATGCAGTAAGCAAATTGATGTTTACTCCTTGGGAACTGTCCTTAGAAAAATTGGCTCTAGAAAACGAATTTCAACATTATCAAATATAGCCACCAAATGCATGAGTAACAACCCACAAGAAAGAATTACTTTAACTGGAACAATGACAACTCTCTCCACTCAAAATGAGTTTCCCTTGAAAGTTAAGATTCAACCAAGAACTGTGTACCGAAATTGTAAGCCAAGGCCAAGCAAGCATCGAGTTTTTCACGTCACCTTTATGTGATAATAAAAAAAACACTAAACAATGTGATGTGATAATAAAAAACACACTAAACAGAGACCCCATGTCTGTTTATACTAACTAATACGTGATCATCATAAAAACGGAATTGACATTAAGAACTTTGCAAGCGAATGGAAGATTGATGTGGTTACATCAAGTCCACACTACCCAGTGTCATGGGCTCATCGAAAGAAATGTGCAAACAATCAAGCAGCTACTTAAGAAAGCAGATGAGTCCAAGCAGGATGCATTTATTGCTTTACTGGAATTTTGCAATTCTCCTATCAGTGGCATGGGGGAGTCCCCAGCAGAATTGCCCATGAGTAGGAAGTTGAAAACTCCTCCGTACCTTCTTGAACCAATGCCAAGGCCCACATCTCAGGTCTGCCAGCAGTTGCTGTCCTGTCAATGAAGTCTTAGCAACACTTTCAAGTTCCTAAGGCAGTAGGTGGTTTGTACAGGGGATTTTCAGTACACGATAAAGGCAAGGCATATGAAACTTCAACCTTTAGTGTGAATTACAGTTGATACAAACCTGTTGTGTGTTTTTAGGAGAAATCAAACAAGCTATTTACCATGACATGAATACTCACCTTCCGAAAAGATTGCATGGTCCTCAGGGAAATGTCTGCTTGTCTGGTTGAATGGCAGTTGAAGGGTATTTTTAGAAAATTTATTGTTCAGTCAGTATTCCAAATAATACAGTTGTAAGCCCGTAATGTAATTAACAAAGATAAACCTTTATTGTGTAAAATTTTCAGTTCGTTTGGTTGACTAATAAAGATTCGGCAAAGCCTGGATTTTTTAGCTAAATTCTAGCGTTTCCACAGGCAAACTGGTCACATCAAAAGTGGATAGAAAACCATCCTCTAAAAAAAAAAAGGAGGAAATAGGATTTCGTCCAAATGAATGTGGTAATTGTTCATGGGATAGGATGGTTATCATCTACTGAAAAAAATTAGGGAAATCATTCATTAATGAAACCTTACACCACATAGAGCTGAATTGATGTGCCAAACAAACATAATGAAAGCAGATGGACTTATAGTGAGTGTTTGGACCTTAGACAGGAAAGTATATGTCAAGGCTTCCCCTACAGGAAACCCCATACGTATATACACATAACATGATCTAGATGAACTCTAAATAATACCAAAATTTCAATGGAGGAAATAAATATGAGAGACGTTTAGTCCCTTAAAGGGTGAACTCCAAGGTAAAAACGACCCATTTGTTAATGATTGGGCTATATTTGTTTCACTTTTTGATTACTAATTTAAGTGATTCCTTATTAAAGCGAAGATATTTCACCTAGAAAAATGTTCGCCTGCTCAGAAATGGATCAGTGTTTTAATTTTTGACGTCAGAACATCAAGTGTAATCAGGCATTTACAGGGCTTCAAGTAGTGTACCACATTTTGCATCGCCTGTGTTGGGGTTTTTCTTACCTTTATATCACTCACATAACATCAAATTCTGGGTCAAACAACAGAGACAACAGGCGGCCAATGGTCCTGCCTAACCTAACCTATTTCGAGAGAGAATTTTATTTATAATGTTAAACTATCTAGAAAATGAAAGCGATGCCGGTGTCATTACTTTGTTTGCTAGCTTGTATATACAGTTTTCTTCAACTCAAACATATTGTACTTAAACATATTTTATCTACATATAATATAATAAAAAAATGTTCGTGACATCTGAATCTCACAAAACATTACATTATTATCTTGAATCACCTCTCAATTGCTGGTGTTTATCAGGCTTCTTAACCTGTACCTCATGATAAATGTAGAACAATTCAGTTGTTGTTTCCGATCTATAAGTTAGGTGGTCCTGTAATAATTGCCACATTAAGGGAAGAACGGAGGCATGCATATGCTGCCAAGACATAGCACAGATTACGAATAAACTCAATGAAGCTGTTACTAGTGGTGAATGTGAAAAGCCAACATGCATCACTCAGCATCCAGGGTTCAATCCAGTATGTATAAATAGATGGTTCCTGCAGGCTGCTTGGTATCAGTATAAGCAACAATGTAAAGAATCATTTGATGGGCCTGAAGACAAATTATACAGGCACAAAACATACAAACAATTGGCCTGAGGAATCCTGAGCAAAGAAATTAGGGTAGTGCTCCCTTCAAGTGCCATCATGTGTATTAGGAACTTCTATCCTCCACCTGGGCCTGAGGAAGAATTTGTCTTTATATGCTTTAAATATGCAGATGAGTGACATGACACAAGACTTAAAACTGAAATCAGGCTGCCACTGTAAATACAGAAGCTCAGCACTCCAGGTTATGGCAGAAGTGGGTAAAAATTATTCCAATCATAGTTGCATTGCTGGAATGTGTCAAGAGCAACCTTGCTGAGGCTCTGAAAAAACTTGTCCATTGAAGCCGAGAGCTACAATTACGCCCTGCGAAAGACGGCTGTTCTACTCTGCTCATATACCTTGAAGACTTTTTAATCTGCTAGGCTTAGAACACTGGCAGTACCCCGCCTAGTGGGTTTCCCTATCCACTACGGAGGAACAGGCACACATACTGTGAAACTTGAACATAATAATGATATACCTATATGAAAATCAATTTTCATACACAGACAACCCCTTGCCTGAGGAATGGAAAGAACATCTACCCAAGGCAGACCACATGTGGATCTACAAGACACCTTTTACACAGTCTGTCTACAAAGACTAAACAGATGACATGTCTCATGTAAATAAGCTTCGGTGGTATCCACCACAGCCGTCTTTAAGGGTCATCAGCATCCCATTGTCAACAGTTTCCTTACTCGGCATCTCCTACTTTGGATGCCAAGGAAACTATGGAACGTGAAGCTGCACTCTAAATGTAATGATTGTGGCAAGCATCCTGTTACCAGCGCAGGCGTGTACCCACATGTTAGACAGGTGCTGGATGGGTGGGAAGTGCCCGAGGATGTAGGTCACAGGAAGCAGTTTTTATCATTATTACCAACAACTATGCCTGGGACACGAGAGTGGTGAGATCGCTGAGATAGCTTGGTTTTGGAACTAGCTTAAGTCAGTTACAGAAAAAGCTTACAGAACAACACAAAGAACAAGACGTAATTGCTCACTATTTGACACACTCTCAAACAATTGTGGAGGCTAGGAAACAACAACTGGTCCTGCCCCAGAGTTTGATGAGCCACCATCTTCTCCTCCTCTTTCTAAGGAAAGCCGATTGGTGCAAACTTCAAGAGAAATATTACAATCCCAGTCAAAACATCACATTCAACGATGAATAACCATCATCTTCAACACTAATAATGGCATTCAAAGGAATTACAATAGACAACGTCAAAGTCAACAAGATCGGGTTTAACAGGAGCAAATCAGTCAAATTTATTAGATAAGAAGGGGAATCACATTCAGGTGCTCACAATTTCGATCAACAAAGTCATAAAATGTTGTCAACAATAGCCATAAAGCCTGCGAGCCTCAACAAAAATGCATCTTGGGAACAAATGTGCCTCACATGAGGTTTCAAAATTGCGGAAGGTCCTGGTGCTGGTGCGGCAGCCTTGAAGAGCAAGTTAGATCGGCTGGAAGGTAGGCTGTGGGAGAAGAACTAGCCTCACAAAGAAATCAGTCATTTGAGGAGAAAAAGAGGCATCTGCACACACTCACAAATGAAACACCTTAACAGTGTTCCATCTCATAGCCTTTGGTTTATATAAAGGCTAAGCAATAAACAAAAGTGCAAGTCATCCCCAAAGTGTGTACCTTTTAGAGGAACCGGACATTGATGCTGACGAGGATATGGTCTAATGGACATGAATGCGATTTTCATCCTGATTACTCAGAAGAAGAGATACACTTGGTTTCCTTGTTGAAGTCAAGGTTACCCCTTATAACACAAAGTCAAAGTTCAAGTCAAAGTTACCCCTTATGACTTTAAACATGTTAACAGGCAGTTTGTGTAAACATCGAAAATCCGGCGCCAGTTTCGAAATTATCATTTTTCTCATATAATAAAGCTTTTAATGAATTATTTTCGAAATTACTTTTATATAATCCTAAAGAGCTCAAGTTTTTTCAAAATCGAGCAAAGTTTGACAATTGCCATTTTGAAGGTGGTCACACCACCACTTTCCCTGCAAGCAGAAGTCTCTCACAACGAGGCAAAA